AATCAGATTGTAAGGTGTGTGGTGAGCGGAGAATGGAGAAGGATGAGCAGCAAATACAGAGCTGTTGCCATAGTAACCAGTTGGTGTTCCTGTGATAGGAAGCTCGGTTGCCCCGGGGAACAGCAGCTGAATCCTTGCAATGAATTGCCCCGGCGCAGAGTCTGGAGGGGGCACCATCATGGCAGAGAAAGAACACCGCGGATACAGGGCTCCGCGTACAGAGGGGTGCACCGTGTACCCCTCCTTCCTGAGATCATAATAATCTGATAGGGTGCAGCAGCAACACCGTCACCAATCACTGCACACGGATCAGTCATGTGACTTCCTCTCCCATCACCTCTCTGATGATAGTGTGCTATGGAATGTGGGCGTGGCTCTGCAGTGTCTCCTCCCCGTTGCTATGGTGACAGCATTGTGTACTCGGCTCTTTAAAGTCACCGGCTCGCCCGCGTAAGATGTCATGTCTGCCATGTGTCCCACCGGTCATACGTGTGATTGTATGTATATATCAGGGGTGGGTGACCCGGGCCCTCCAGCTGCTGTGGAACTACAAGTCCCATGAGGCATTTACTCTGACAAGCACAGGCATGACTCCCAGAGGCAGAGGGATGATGGGATTTGTAGTGTCGCCATAGATGGAGGGCTGCGGTTGCCTACCCCTGACATTTATATGTGTAATATGTGTGACGTGTCTCCATCTCTCCTACAGACGTCTCGTGTCCCGTCATCAACATGTCAGCCGACGGAAGCTCCGCCCTCCCGCTGGACATCATTGATGCAAAATCACCAGGTAGGAGGAGCTGAGGCATGGTGCGGGATACCCCTGTGTGGGTTGCAGGTCACATGATCGGTGTGTATACATGTGTGTGTCTTGCAGGTCACATGATCGGTGTGTATACGTGTGTGTGTCTTGCAGGTCACATGATCGGTGTGTGTACGTGTGTCTGTACAGCAGGTCACATGATTAGTGTGTCTGTACAGCAGGTCACATGATTAGTGTGTGTGTACAGCAGGTCACATGATTGGTGTGTGTGTCTGTGTGTAGAGCAGGTCACATGATTGGTGTGTGTGTGTGTACAGCAGGTCACATGATTGGTGTGTGTGTGTGTACAGCAGGTCACATGATTGGTGTGTGTGTCTGTGTGTACAGCAGGTCACATGATTAGTGTGTGTGTACAGCAGGTCACATGATTGGTGTGTGTGTACAGCAGGTCACATGATTGGTGTGTGTGTACAGCAGGTCACATGATTGGTGTGTGTGTACAGCAGGTCACATGATCGGTGTGTATACATGTGTCTGGACAGAGGTCTGCTGTGTGGTTGGTTGCTATAGGTTACGGCACGCCGTTCATTCTGCAGCATGTTCCCCGGTCACACTCGGGTGTTTCCTGACGTTTCAGCCAATCAGTACCTGGTTCAGCTGCTGGAGGACAAAGGAGCGCTGAGCTTCCAGCCAATGACAGAAGAGAGGATCCGGCTTCTCTTCCACATTTGGGACAAGGTGAGCCCACAGCTGGGGACCTTCTCCCGCCTGATGGGGCTCCTCGGGGCCGAATTATACGGTAAGAAGGACGCCTGGTTCTGTGTGCTGCCTGTGCTGGTGGAGGTGTAAAGTGGGTGTGCTCCGTACTAGAGTCCTCATCCTCCCCCCTCCTCTCCCAGGCCGGGGTCTGCTGTGTACTGTAGTCCATGGTGGATATCCCCGCCCTATGAGAGCCCATTGGGGAGCCCTCCCCCCCTCCTCTCCCAGGCCGGGGTCTGCTGTGTACTGTAGTCCATGGTGGATATCCTCATCCTATGAGAGCCCATTGGGGAGCCCTGCCCCCCTCCTCTCCCAGGCCGGGGTCTGCTGTGTACTGTAGTCCATGGTGGATATCCTCGCCCTATGAGAGCCCCCACTTTGTACCGCGCGGAGGTCTCACCGTTCCTCTGTATTTCCAGGAACGAGGAAGCGGACGGACTGCGCTCCGAGCTCCGGCGGGTGAACGCCACGTGAGTAACACGTCCCCCCTGATTGGCCAGTGAGAGTTTTCCTTTCTTCACAGACATTTCTTATTTCAGATC